AGCCATGAAATTAAAAGATGCTTACTCCTTGGAAGGAAAGTTATGACCAACCTAGACAGCATATTAAAAAGCAGAGACATTACTTTGCCAACAAAGGTCTGTCTAGTCAAGGCTATGGTTTTTCCAGTGGTCATGTATGGATGTGAGAGTTGGACTGTGAAGAAAGCTGAGCACCAAAGAATTGATGCTTTTAATCTGTGGTGTTGGAGAAGACTCTTGAGAGTCCCTTGGACTGCAAGGAGATCCAACCAGTCCATCCTAAAGGAGATCAGTCCTGGGTGTTCACTGGAAGGACTGATGCTGAAGCTGAAACTCCAATACTTTGGCCACCTCATTCGAAGATTTGACTCATTGGAAAAGACCCTTCTACTGAGAAAGACAGGGCAGGAGGAGAAAGGGACGACAGAGGATAAGATGGCTGGATGGCATCATCGACTCGATGGACATGGGTTTGTGTGGACTCCGGGAGTTGGTGATGGACAGGGAGGCCTGGCGTGCTGCGATTCATGGGGTCGCAAAGGGTCAGACACGACTGAGCGACTGAACTGAACTAAGCACTGGTTAACCGCACACGGGGCTGCTTAGAGCAAAGAAAGCCAAAACTGGGACGATAAAGGGGTACAGCAGGGCCCCCACCCAATCCCAGTCATCTTGCTTCCCAGCCGGCTCTCAGGGCCACATGCAGTGTGGCCCAGGGCTTCCAGGAGCCCACGTGCAAGCGCAGGGACAGACATCTGACACACACTCACTACTTAAAGTGGAAACACCTGGTTCCTGGGAACCTGGAACTTAGCTTTTTAAAGGCCCTTTCCTTAGCCCTTGCCCTTATGGTCTGCTGTGTCTCCTCCTGACTCCTCCCCCTGGGACATCGGGCTCACAGGATCATCCCCGGGACCTGAGCTGCTCAGCAGCTCCCACGGTAGTCCAGCCTCTCAGAGGGGCTGCTCCACCGCCCGTTGTAAACAGGAGAACTCACCGTGAAAAGACCCCTGCGCGACGGTCAGGAGACAGCTGCGCAGGGACGGCCACGCCCACGCCGCCTCACGGATTCTGTTCTCCTAGTAAGGGCCTCGAAGATCCGCTCGGTCCTTCTGGAAGTGTTCTGGAACGCGAGCGCAGGAAGCTGGCACACACTTTGTGTATTCCGGTCCTGCAATGCGGCTCAAGCCTTTCCCCTTCACGACCACACTGACAGTGTCGGGAGTCACTATGATAATTTTCTTAGATCGTTTTTCTGATTAGTTGCAACTCCAAGGACCACATGCCTACACGAGTCTCTAACTGGAGCATGCACAGCCCCAGTTCCAGGCACAGAGGACGCAAAACAGAGTGTCTGTGATACAGCTTCCTGGGGCATCATGTTTCTTCCCAGTGCTTTAGAAGGACCGTCCCCTCCCCCACTCACTTGGAAGAAAAGACAGGGAAGCGGGGGAGGGGAGAAGTGCTGCAGGAAAGGTCGTCCAGCCTCTGACAATCCAACCCCCACCCAGATGGGACCAAGGTGTGGGCTTGCATCAGGGCAGCCTCTCTTCTTGTCCCCAGACAGTGCCAGGCCATCCTCTGACCTGGCCAGGTATTTTGGATACGATGCTTATGAAGGCTGTAGTGGTGTGGGACATCCTCCTGATTTGAATCCGGGGCAGAGAACATCCCCCCCCCCCCATGTTCTCCTGGGCCGTGTTCTCTCTCCCTAAGCATCAGGGTACACACAGGGTGCACTGCCTGCACCGCCCCCAGGGTGCACCCAGCTCTGGCCTCCAGGGGCCCGGGGTTCAGCATCTTCCTGCCCTCCACTTCAATGCAGGGAGTGCAGCCTGACTTTCCTGCCTCTCTGGCCATGGGGAATTACCCTAGGCTCACTTTGTGGTCAGGGTTCCGGCTGGGCAGTCTGCAACATGAGTGCTTTAAAGTAAAGTTCTAGAATCTCCCAACCACCCCTACTGTCTCTGGCTGTGGCTGGAGTGGGGCTGGAACACTCTCAGGCTGCCCAGCATTGGGGGAACTTCTGGAGGGCGACAGCCGGGGCAGCCGGTTCCCCTGGGGCCCTAGTCCTGCTGGTGGAGGGGGAGCCCCAGGGCCTCACCGGGGCTGGGGGCATGGACCTCTGACCCTCCAGGTTGCTGCCCCTCCCCCTCACAGAACTGGGCCCCCACCTCAGGGCCTGAGGCGGCTCAACCTGTGGTGCTGAGGTCAGCAGAAGGGGGGGGGGGGCCTCAGGGTGACAGGACGACCCCCACCTGGGGCTCATATCCCCCTGTGTACCCTTCGCTATGGCCCCACCCCAAGCCCATGGTCGTCACCTGTCACCCGGAGAGTCCTCGTCACAGGGCAGCTCACTGGGTGGCCCGAGCGGCTCCTCCTGGCCCACGTTCACTCACAGATGCCTCATGCGTCACTTCAAGTGACCGCTTCGTTGTTGGGGTCAATGGTTATCATTGTTTCAGAGAGATTTTTCTATCTCAAGAGAGGGATAAAGTGGGAACATGGTGTTGCCCACTCAGGATCCGCTGCCGCAGCTCCCAGAAATCCCGTCCCATGAAGGGCAGGGACCCAGCCCCATGAGTACAGAACCACTCCCAGGCTCCACGAGTCCAGGTGAATGGCCGTCACAGAAGGTGCTGACCGAGTGGGAAAATCTGTGATTCTTATACTCAGTTCAGCGTCAAGATGTAGGGTCTCTGGCATCAAGTCTCTTCTGCAGGTGACACCTTCTGGTGGCAGCACTGCCCAGCAGGCGCCAGCTGCTGGAATGGGCCTTGGCCGCCTCATCTGCCAAGCAGCCACCATCTAGTAAACAGTCAATCACATCTCGTCAACTCACATACTCCATGACAAGGAGTAACGTTTATTCAGTGTCAATCACCTGGAGGAGCTTTCAAGACCCTGGTGCTCTGGACTTTGCAAGAAAAGTCTCTGGAGGCTGAAGGAGTTCTGCTGACTCTTGTTAGTGGCCTTCCTGAAAAGAAGATCACCCTCATCATATTTACCTCAATAAGGTCATCAGCAAGTTCATCATTAGAAAGCTTAGGAGACCAGGAGACAGTGGGTTGACTTATTCAAAGTGCTGACAAAGAATCCTGTGGCTGGCAAAACAAGAGTTCTTTAGCACTAGGACTGCTTTGCATAAAGGACACGGACAGTAACTCAAAAACAAGTGTATGTAAGGGGAAAATAGGAAGTAACCACACAAGCCAAAAGAAAGATTCAGAAAAGATGTGAGATCTTAAGTTTACATCTCAGGCTGGTCCCCAGCTCAGAGACTGCCCACAACAATTAAAGCACAAAAACAGTATCAGTAACTTTCACAAACAGCAAGCCCTGGGGAAGAGAGGGAACCTTATTTCCAGAGTTACCACATTATTGCGCTCAAAAGTCTAGTTTTCAACAAAAAATATCACAAGGAAGAGGAGCAACATCAAAATGGTGGAACAGGAGATTTCTACTACCTTCCCCCAAAGAAAACCAATTTGGATGACCACCCACAGACCAGACAGCCTTTGTGGGAGGCCCAGAGTCCAGGAGTGGGTGCCAGCACAATGCTGGATGAAAAAAAAAAAAAAAAATCAGATATTGGGTGTATTTAGGAGGGTGAGAGAAACAGCCTGATTGTTCTCATGTTGCCCCTCCCCCAAGGTGACAATTCAGGACTAAACTAGACCTTCCTGGTCTGAAGAGCCGGCATGGTAAGCACCCACCTGCCGCCTCCCCCCTGCACCCTTCCCTGTGGATGAGCTGACGGCCGTGAGAATGCACTCAGGCAGTCAGGGAGCCTGAGCAGAAACTGAGTCAGCAGGCCTAGGAGAAGCCACAAAATGGACCACTGAGCAGGTCCCCAGGGAAAGCAACAGGATCCTGTCAGCCAGGCTCTGCAGGATCCAGAGGGGGCACCTGCGCTTCAGCGTTCCCCACCAGACGTGTGGGGCAGGTGTCCCCACAGTAGCGATGTGACAATTCCTAGCACAGCCCACAGCGGGTGTTTCTCTCCTGAAGTCAGCCAGTAAGGGCTGGAAAAGGTCACTTCTCTTCAGATGTGAAGACGGCAACACAGGGCTTCAAGGAATATGAAAAATCGAGATCGAGGTATAAAATAAATAAGTCACAGGGAGGTAGTGTACAGCATAGGGAATACAGTCCATAAAATTGCAGTAACTTTTTATGATGACAGGAGGCTCCTGGACTTATCACTGTGATCAATTCATAATATATAAAAATATTGACTCACTATGCTGTACTCCCCAAACTAATATGGCAACTATACTTCAGTAAAAAAATATCTTTAAAGAAATAAAATTTAAGGATACATGACAACCTCAGCAGAACACAGTAACTGTTTAATAACTGACCACAAAGAAATGGAAATTTGCAATTTACCCAATAAATAATTCAAAATAACTTTTAAGGAATCTCAGTGAGCTAAAAACCCGAGGACAATTCACCAAAATTCAGAAAACAATACATGAACAAATGAGAAGTTCTGTAGGAAGAAAAAAATCATTTAAAAAAAGAATTATTTAGACATTCTTAGACTGAAGAATACAATGGGTGAAATTAAAAATGCAATGAACAACATCAACAGCAGAATGGATCGAGAGAAAGAACTTGTGAAGTAGTACCTAGGACCTTGAAATTATTCAACCAAAGGAGAAGAAAGATAAAAGAATGAAGAGTGAAAAAAAAAATCCTGTGAATCCTGTGAACAATCTAAGAAGTATCGGAGTATCAGAAGAAGAGAGAGATAAGAGGCCAGAAAGTATATTTAAAGAAATAATGGCTGAAAACTTCCCAAATCTGGAGAGAAATTTTGATATCTGAGTTTAGGGAGCTAATAGGTCATCTGAAAATTCCAATACACAGCAATCTTGTCCCTATTTTTTAACAATACTGTCTAAAATAAAAAACAAAGATAGACTTTTAAAGCAACAACACAGAAAAAAAAGTCTATCTCATACAAGGGAACCACTAGAAGGCTGTTAGCAGAGTTCTCAGCAGAAAGCTTTCAGGCCAACAGAGTGGGATGATATAATATTAATAAACATTCTAAAAGAAGAAAAACTGCTAACAAAGAATACTTTACCTGGTAAAGTGTTCTCTCAGAAAAGAGGTAGAGGCTTTTCAAACAAATAAAGGAGAGGGAGTTCATTGCCACTAAAAGCTGAAAGGAGTCCTTCAAGTTGCCTTGAAAGGGCATGATACTCATATGAAAACAGAGGGTGCAAGTAGATAAAGAAGATGAAAAGCATGTAGTCAAATTCAGCATATGATGTTGAAGCTGAAACTCCAATACTTTGGCCACCTGATGCAAAGAGCTGACTCATTTGAGAAGAACCTGATGCTGGGAAAGATTGAGGGCAGGAGGAGAAGGGGACAACAGAGGATGAGATGGTTGGATAGCATCACGAACTCAATGGACATGGGTTTGGGTGGGCTCCGGGAGTTGGTGATGGACAGGGAGGTCTGGCATGCTGCTGTTCATGGGGTCACAAAGAGTTGGATATGACTGAGCGACTGAACTGAATGCTGAATATGGTTGTATGTTAATCATTTAACTCTAATATAAATATTAAAGGACAAAGGTAGTAAAAGTAACTATAGCTATAAAATTTGTTAATGAATACATGATATAAAAAGAGGTAAATTGTGACATCCAAAACATGAAGGAGGAGGTAGAGTTTTAATATACACTCAAAATTATCAGCATGAAATAGACATATCTGTAAGATGATTTATGTAAGCCTAGTGGCTCAGTGGTAAAGAACTTGCCTGTTGAAGCAGGAGACCTGGATTCAATCCCTGATATGGGAGGATCCCCTGGAGAAGGGAATGGTACTTCTCAGTAAAAACCCACTCCAGTATCCTTGCCTGGGAAATCCCATGGACAGAGGAACCTTGAAGGCTACTGTCCATGGGGTTACCAAGAAGTCAGATGACCTGGGTATATACTGGGCTACTGCTAATGAAAGTTCATGACTTAAATTCTTACTTATGACCTTACTAATAACTGATAGCTATATTTTCTATGTCACTTGCTTCAGAAAATTGTTTCTGATATTACCAAATACGTAACTGAGCCGCTGATAAAATGATGATGCATGCATGCTCAGTCACTTCAGTTGTGTTTGACTCTTTGTGACCCCATGGACCATGGCCTGCCAAGCTCCTCTGTCCATGGGATTCTCCAGGTAAGAATTCTGGAGTGGGTTGCCATACCCTTCTCCAGGGGATCTTTCCAACCCAGGGATCCAACCTGTACCTCTTATGTCTCTTGCATTGGCAGGCAGGTTCCTTACCACTAGCACCACCTGGGAAGCCCCATAAATTATCATATGATCCAATAATCCCACTATTGGACATGTACCCTGAGAAAACCATAATTGAAAAAGACACATGTACCCCAATGTTCATTGCAGCATTATTTATAATAGCCAAGACATGGAAGTAACCTAGATATTCATCAACAGATGAATGAATAAAGAAGTTGTGGTACTATACACAATGGAATATTACTCAACCATAAAAAAGAACACATGGGAATCAGTTCTAATGAGGTGGATGAACCTAGAGCCTATTACACAGAATGAAGTCAGAAAGAGAAAAACAAATACCATAAATTAATGCACATATATATACATATGGAATCTAGAAAGATGGTACTGATGAACCTATTTGCAGGGCAACAATGGAGATGCACACACAGAGAACAGACTTGTGGACTCCATGAGGGAAGGAGGGGGAGGGATAATTCAGAGAGTAACATTGAAACATACACATCACCATATGCAAAATAGATAGCCAATGGGAATTTCCTGTAAGATGCAGGGAGCTCTAACTTGGTGCTCTGAGACAACCCCAGGATGGGATGGGATTGGAGGTGGGAGGTTAAAGGGAGGGGACATGTATATACCTAGGGCTGATTCATGTTGATGTATGGCAGAAACCATCTCAGTATTGTAAAGCAATTACCTCCAATTAGAAATAAATTAAAATAAAAAGCATCTCTATTAAGTCAGTGTCCTCCAGAAAAAAGGGCCTCCCTGGTGGCTCAGACAGCAAAGAATCTGCCTGCAATGTAAGGAACCCAGGTTCAATCCCTGGGTCAGGAAGATCCCCTGGAGAAGGAAATGGCAACCCACTCCACTATTCTGGCCTGGAGAATTCCATAGACAGAGGAGCCTAGGTTCATGGGGTCACAAAGAGACACTCCAGAGAAAACGAACCAGTAGGTTACACATAGATGGCTAGAAAGAGATTTTTTAGGTGGGATTGGCTCACATGATGATGGAAGCTGAGAAGTCCCAGAAACTGCCATGCCATCTGCAAGCTGGAGGCCTGGGAAAGCCAGTGGTGTGGTTCCTTTCCAAACCTGGAGGCAGGAGAACAAGGGCAATAGCAGCTAAGTCCCATTCTGAGCCTGAAAGCCTGAGAGCCAGAACCAAAGGCAAGTTTAGGAGACAGAAGTCCAGGCTCAGAAAACAAGCTCCATCTTCCACCCTGTCACCCACCCCCCCCCCAATCCTCCAACACTCCCCCCCACCCTACCTTTTTGCTGTCTCCAGGCCCTCAGAGGACTGGGCAAAACCTTCACTGATGACTGTGACCCTTTCCAGAGTCTCTGAATTCAAATGCTAATATCTTATGGAAACAACCCCATGGCCACACCAGAATAGTTTTACCAGCCCTCTGGGCATCCCTTAGCGGAGTCAAGTAACCATCTCAGCACTGAACTCTGCGGTTTGGGTCCACTCCCTGCTGCCCACACTGCCCTTTTGGTCCATTTTCCTTTCTTCTTGGGCCTTTCCCTGACACCAGCATCCACCCCACTCTCCACCATCTCCCTCCTTCTGTTACTGAATGAAGCAAGTCCCTGTGCCTAAAACACAGTTCAGTTCAGTCGCTCAGTCATGTCTGACTCTTTGCAACCCCATGGACTGCAGCATGCCAGGCTTCCCTGTTCATCACCAAACTCATGTCCATCGAGTCAGTGATGCCATCCAACCATCTCATCTTCTGTCGTCCCCTTCTCCCACCTTCAATCTTTCCCAGCATCTGGGTCTTTTCCAATGAGTCAGTTCTTCACATCAGGCCAAAGTATTGGAGTTTCAGCTTCAGCATCAATCCTTCCAATGAATATTCAGGACTGATTTCCTTTCAGATGGACTGGTTGAATCTCCTTGCTGTTCAAGGGACTCTGAAGAGTCTTCTCCAACACCACAGTTCAAAAGCATCAATTCTTCAGCGCTCAGCTTTCTTTATAGTCCAACTCTCACATCCATTGCTTGTGCTTCTTCCAGCCCAGCGTTTCTCATGATGTAATCTGCATATCAGTTAAATAAGCAGGGTGCCAATATACAGCCTTGACATACTCCTTTCCCTATTTGGAACCAGTCTGTTGTTCTGTGTCCAGTTGTGTTTCTTCTTAATCTGCATACAGATTTCTCAGGAGGCAGGTGAGGTGGTCTGGTATTCCCATCTCTTGAAGAATTTTCCACAATTTGTTGTGATCCACACAGTCAACAGCTTTGGCATAGTCAATAAAGCAGAAATAGATGTTTTTCTGGAACTCTCTTGCTTTTTCTCTGATCCAGCAGATGTTGGCAATTTGATCTCTGGTTCCTCTGCCTTTTCTAAATCCAGTTTGAACATCTGGAAGTTCATGGTTCACATACTGTTGAAGCCTGGCTTGGAGGATTTTGAGCATAACTTTGCTAGTGTGTGAGATGAGTGCAATTCTGCAGTAGTTTGAACATTCTTTGGCATTGCCTTCCTTTGGGATTGGAATGAAAACTGACCTTGTCCAGTCCTGTGGCCACTGCTGAGTTTTCCAGACTTGCTGGCATATTGAGTGCAGCACTTTCACAGCATCAACTTACCGTAAAGCACAGTAAGGCCAAACAATACTAAAACATTGGAGTCTGGAGCAGAGAAAGGTTTGTTACAGGGCCACGCGAGGAGATGGGTAGCTCATGCCCATAACCCCAAAGTTACTAAAAGTTTTCAGCAAGCCTCTTTAAAAACAAAAGGTGAGGGAGGGGAGTGGTTAGTTGTTGCAGATTTCTTGCTGTCAGATCCTTTGTTCCTGAGGTCAGATCATGGTCTGGTAATGATGTTCCTGTAAATTGCTACCAAACGATGTTATTCTCTGTCCTGACAAGAAATGGCAAGGTGCCAGGGCACAGCTGTCACCCTCCAGGGTCCCGGCCCTGGCTAAGAGGAGGCAGAGCTCAGTTCACAGCTCCCTCAAAGCCAGTCCCCATAGCCTGCCCAGCTGTCATCGCTGAGGGAGCCAGGAGCCCAATGCAGCTGGCCCTCAGCCACCCAAAGGGGGAGAGACCAGGTCTCTCAGACTGCGACCCAGGCAGATGGCCACTGCTATTGGGTCACAGAGACCAGCATGGGGGCGAGGTTTAGCACTCCTCAAGGCCTGGGCCTCGGCTAGGGGGCGATCTTGGCGAGGGCTCTGGAGTCCTGCAGGACACAGTCCCCAGCCTGTTCTCTGGGGCCAGCAAGGCCAGGTGAGTGAGAGGGCTTCGGGGAGAAGGCCAGGATCCACCTCTCACCATACTCGTCTCCACCTCAGTACCACCACTCCACTGCCGTCTGACTCCTAAACTGTCACTCCTTAACCGACAGTTGCTTGTGGGCGGGGCTCAGTGCTGCACTGTCCAATGACTGAGCAGGACTACTCAGGGCCGCTCAGTGGCCATTGGTTGCCAGTGGGCGCCATGCCCCAGGCCCCAACCAATGGCTGAGCAGGACCTGCCCTGGCGGTGCGGAGCAATGATGCACAACAACGGCTGCTCTGCTGAGGGCGGAGCTCACTGCGCTCCGTTACACTTCCTCCTCTCTTTTCTCCTCAGCTCCCCACCCCGAATCTGGACGTTCAGGGGATGGAATGAGGACGCCGTCGCCCAGAAAGGCCTATTTGCCAGTGGGAACTCAAACACCCCCTGGGAGGCATGGCCAACGGGGTGTCACAGGAGAGGAGCCAGTCTGGAGGTGTAGGGGCCTCCCTGAGGGGTGACGTGCAGGGGCAGGGCCTGGCTGTGGGAGGAGGAGTGGGCTCTCAGGAGAGGACTGGGGTCCAGGGAGGGCCCTGAGGGGAGAGGCTAGGAGCCGGGGAGAGTGCCCACCCCCCAGAGGTGACCCGACATGTGTGGGCTCCATCAGGAGACCCAGGTGGCAGGCTGTCCACACTGGCCAGAGTGCCAAAGGGCCGGTTTGGAGTTTAACAGAAACGGCCTGGTACCTGGGGCGGAGCAACCCTCGCCTGCCCTTCTGGGGACTGCCCTCAGCCTGCACAGGCCAGTCAGTGTGCGGTTTCCTGGATGATGCAGCTCCTTTGGAACCTGTGCGATGAGACTGAGCTGGGAGGGAGGGAAGACGCCACCCAGGACCTGCAGGGAGCGTCCAGCTCGGCACGAACACCATGATAGCTCCAGCAGATGGATGCTCCCACCCTAACTCCACCCCCACGCTTCCTGCCCTGCTCCAGCCTTGCTCCCCTCCCTGCTGGCCCCCCACAACTGGTCACCCTCCCACTGCCTGCACCCTGGGCCAGCTCTCATTCTACAATAAGGAAAGCCCAACTATATGATTTGGGGCATTGGGATTTATAACAATTTTCCAGTAGAATCTATTCCACAATAGAGGACCTGGTTTCCCTGAGGGCCAGCTGTCAGGAGGGGTCCCATGGAATTTTCTGTGTTTGGGGAAGTATCACTGTTACACCGAGGATGGCCCACAGCCTGGCTCTGCCGGAGTCCCTCATGGAGACAAAAGTCGGCCACTCATCTCCTCGGCATAGTAAGAGAAGCCAGTCAGAGAGAGAGAGACAAATATCACGACATGTCACTGAGAACTGGGGTTTATAAATTCATACAAATGAACTTATTTACACAGCAGAAACAGACTCACAAACTTAGAAAACCAACTTAGGTTTATTCAAAAAAATATTGTGCGTGTGTTACTCATTCACTCCTGTCCAACTCCTTGCAACACCACGGACTGTAGCCCGCCAGGCTCCTCTGTCCATGGAATTTTCCAGGCAAGAATACTGGAGTGATTGCCAGTTCCATCTCCAGGTTATCTTCCCGACCCAGGGATTGAACCCGGGTCTCTTGCATTGCAGGCAGACTTTCTACCATGTGATTATTAAGGAGAAGGGATACATAAGGACTTTGGAATTAATATATACACATTACTATATATCCAAAAGATAATGAAAAAGAACCTACTGAGTAGCACAGGGAAGTCTATTTAATACACTGTAAAAACCTCTATGGGAAAAAGAAACGGAAAAAGAATAGATATATGTCTATGGATAAGCAAAGCGAGTCCATGTACACCCGCCTCCAAAAAACACAAGGAAATCAAGTCTAATATAAAATGACATTGAAATTACCAAAACAAAACAAAACGAAACCATGGAGCATGAAGAAATTCTGTCACCTTGTGGCCATTTCCCATAACAACAACTTTAAAAGCTGGGCTGATGGGCATCGAAGATTCACAAGGTCTGTAGGGCTCGAAATACAAAACATCTGCCCTCAAATAATGTCATAGGTGGAGTCACCAAAAAAGAATTGAGAATTGGGCGATCCTTCAAGAAGCCAAGGTCAAAAGGTACGTTTAACTTACACCCTTTGAAGAAAAATCACATGAAAAGAGGCCAACGGCACTAAATATTAGAGAAATGCAAATTAAAGCTACAAAGAGCTACAAGCAGCGGGTGTTGAGAAAAGGGAACCCTCCTCCATGGATAGATACAGGGGATGTCAACTGTTCACAACCACTATGGAGGATAAGATGGAGGTTCCTTAAACAATGAAAACCAGCATGAAATTAGAATACTCCTACCACTATACCTAAAATAAACTCCAAATAGTATAAATATCTAAACATCAGGATGGATACTGTGAAATACTTGAGGGAAATACAGGCAGAACGTGCTTTGATGTAAATCACAGCAAGTTCTTTTGGATCCACATCTTAGAATACTGCAAACTAAACCTAACATAAACTGAGATTGAATTAACCTGAAAAGCATTTGAACAGCTAGGAAACCCTGAAGGAAAAAGGCAAGACTCAGAATGGGAAATTACAATCTTTGAAAATGAAGATACCCACAAAGAATCCATCTCCAAAACATACAAACACATGCAGATAAATATTAAACAACAAAAAAAAATCCAACCACACACATAAAAAAATGGGCCACAGCTCAAAATGGACATTTTCCTGTAGAAAACACAAATGGCCATGAGCACATGAAAAGAGATTACTATTATATGACCTCACTGCTAGGTGAAATCTAAAAATGTAACAAATGAACTTCTTATCCAGGGTAAGTAGCCTCACCTGGCTTAGAAAATAAACATAATGTTACTGAAGTGAAAAGTGAAAGTGAAGTCCCTCAGTCGTGTCCGACTCTTCACAACCCCATGGACTGCAGCCCACCAGGCACCTCCGTCCATGGGATTTTCCAGGCAAGAGGACTGGAGTGGGTTGCCATTGTCTTCTCCGGTCCTGGACACTATTGTAGTTCTAAGGTTTTTTTTTAAACATCCATACTGTTCTTTCCAGCCAATTACCAATTTACAGCCCCAAGGACTGTAGGAGTCCCTTCTCCCCACAGCATCTCCAGCTTTATTGTTGGAGAATTTTTGAGATGGCCATTCCATTCTAACGGGTGTGGGGTGATACCTCATTGGACATCTAATTTGCAGTTTTGTAATAAGTAGTGATGCTGAGTATCTTTTCATGTGCTTCATGTGCTTCCAATGTTCTTGCCTGGAGAATCCCAGGGACACGGGAGCCTGGTGGGCTGGTGTCTGTGGGGTCGCACAGAGTCGGACACAACTGAAGCGACTTAGCAGCAGCAGCAGCAGCAGCATCCAGGACTCCCATGCCTAGGCGTAAATCCAAAGAAAACCAACATTTTAAAATACACTGGCGTGTTTGGTATCTCAGCTGCACCAGAGACCAAAGCCAAGACACGGAAACAACCTAAGTAAAGAGGGACAAATGAAAGAATAAAGAAGATAGAGTACATATGTTGTTGTTGTTGTTCAGTTGCTAAGTCCTGTCTGACTCTTTGTGACCCCATGGACTGCAGCACACCAAGCTTCCCTGTCCTTCGCTATTTCCCAGAGTTTGCTCAAACTCATGTCCATTGATGCCATGGACTCATGTCACTGATGCCATCTAACCATCTCATCCTCTGTTGCCCACTTCTCCTGCCCTCGATCTTTTTCAGCATCAGGGTCTTTTCCAATGAGTTGGCTCTTCGCATCAGGAAGAAATATTGGAACTTTGAATGAATATTCAGGGTTTATTTCCTTATAGGATTGACTTATTTGATCTCCTTGATGTCCAAGGGACTCCCAAGAGTCTTCTCCAACACCACAATTCAAAAACCATCCCAAAGAAACAGAAATGCAAGAAGGCATTCGCAGTCTGAGAGACCTGGTCTGTCCCCCTTTGGGTGGCTGAGGGCCAGCTGGATTGGGCGCCGGTGTAATAAACTGCACTCCACTGTCTGCATTGTCCTTCTGAGTGAGTTTGTCTCCCGAAACGCGTGGCTACAACATTACCAGTAGAGACAAAGGGTGGCAGGGAGAATGGAGCCTGTTCAAACTGACATATGCACACTACTATTTATAAAAACAATCCACAGGGATTACAAGGAGCCTTATTGGATACTCTGTAATAACCTATATTGGAAAAGAACCCAAAAAAGAACATATATACCTATGTATTATTGAATCATGTTGTTGTATATCGAAAAGGAAAAACACAACCCCAAAACATTGAACTTCATGCATACAGGGCAATGTAAGTTATAGAACAAGGAGAAAATGAAAAGAGAAAAAAATGCTGACTCTATTTCTCTCTTGCCATGATGACCTGGGCTGTTGTCACATCCCTGGAACCTAAGCAGGCTTGCATCCTGAGCCTAGGTTGTTGTCTCACTAAAAAAGCTGGGAATCAGTTCTAATGAGGTGGATGAACCTAGAGCCTATTATACAGAATGAAGTAAGTCGGGAAAAGAAAGATAAATATCGTATACTAACACATATATACGGAATCTAGAAAGATAGTACTGATGAATTTATTTGCAAGGCAGCAATGGAGAAACAGACATAGAGAACAGACTTATGGTCACAGGGAGAGGGGAGGAGAGAGTGAGATGTATGGAGAGAGTAACATGGAAACTTACTACCTTATGTAAAATGGAAATTTGCTGTATGTCTCAGGGAACTCGAACAGGGGCTCTGTATCAACTTAAAGGGGTAGGATGGGAAGGGAGATGCGTGGGAAGTTCAAGAGGAAGGGGACATATGTACACCTATGTCTGATTCATGTTGATGTTTGACAGTAAACAACAAAATTATGTAAAGCAATTATCCTTCAATTTAAAAAATAAATAAACTTTTAAAAGATTATTTTCAAAACCTGGGAGATTTGTACCAGGCAGGTGCCTCCGAAGTACCTGGAGCAACTGTTGCCCTCATCCTGATCTTGCATTCTTTAGATAGCAGTGGGCCTTACTACAGAGAAACCAAGCCTGCTGCACCCAAACTACAGCAGAGCCTCTGGGCTGGAAGAGCTTTGAAAAGTTCCCTGGGCTCCAAATCTCCTGCTGGGGGAGGGGGGATTCCCACTTCCAGCCTCCATTCTCAGGGTCACCCCAACTGCAGATGACTGCACCCTCCACACAGTAGTCTTGCAGAAATTGGGATGTGTCCAGCGGATAAAGGGTAAGGGGGAAGAAGTTCCTTAACACCAGCCTTGGGTGTTTCTTCTGGCACATTCCACTCTTAACTGACAATGAAGGAACAGGATTTGCCTAAGGCTCTGGTTGCCCAAGCAACAGGGCAGGAAGAAATGCTGTCTCCTTGTTACTGCTTCCCTTAACTTTAAAATCGGTGCTGATGGGCCTTTGACATTCACAAGACCTTTGGGGCTCTAAATGACGCCTACCCTCAAGTAATGTCCTGGGGTAAATCATCAGAATGGAATTCAAAATAGGGCAGACTTTCAAGAAGCCGATTTCAAGAGATAAATTGCACTTACGTGGTATAAGATCAAAAATCACCTTGAAAATACTCCAACTCACTAAATAGTAAATCAATGGAAATCAAAACTACAAAGAGGCATCAAATCATACTGGTCAGAATGGCAATTATCAAAAAGATCTAC